AGCCCCAGGAAAACAACTGCTTGATGCATCAGCAGTCAAAAAATAGTCATCCTGCCTGTCTGTCCGGGCAGAGTCCACCTCCCTAAGGAGAATGCACTGTATCCATGACCACCTGACCAAAGGGAATACACTGCCTCCCCATCCCCAGCTATCTGCACCTAAACATCTTTGAGTCACACTTAATCTGTCCTGGATCTCATCCAGCCAGCAAACCAGTCAAAAAAGTATCAGGAAAAGCAAGCGGATAACGACATGGAATAGAGCTTGAGAACAAGGAGGTTATGGAGGAAATACTGTCCAGCAGAAAAAGAAAAGGAATGTGAATTCCCGTGAGAGAAAGCAAGCCACAAATTCATAAACAAAAAGCTAGTATTAGTCTGAGTTTAAACTGAACACAAAAGGATAAAGAGCTTTATATTTTATCCACTGCCAAATCACTAGTTGACCAGTCTCTTGCTATAATTACTTGATAAACAGCAAATACTGCAACAGCTTCATTTTTCTCTCCTTTTGCATCTTTGCTCAATGAAGAACTGCCTTTAGCCTTAAGCTGGTGTACTGACACTGCCACAGTCAGGGAGGTGATGTAATGCAATGGCTTGAATGCACAGGTCAAGAATATATGAAACATAAACATCTCCAGAGGTATAGCTGCCATTTCCCTTTGTCAGTTCTAGAACATTCCTCATCTCCTCCTATTTGGCATTCTTCTACTTAGGACAACCACACAGACAGCTTTGTTGTAAGAGATGGTAGTTCTTCAACAAGTGGATCCCAAATGGGACTTGTTAAACCAAACATAACTTGGATAAAAAGAATCACCACAATTTTGCATTGGTGAAAAGAGCCAGTTTCAGGTTCTCTTTGCACAGGATGGGTGTGTAGTGGTTGCAAAGAACAGGAAAACAGTTCTTTTAAGCAAACCATATTCATTAACATGGCAGCAATTTCCCTCTCCTCTCTGGAGAGAGTATGTGTGGCAGAAACAATAATCCTCAATTCTAATGATCATGGGTTAAGTGCCTCTTGAAGTTCTGTGCTTTCACAATACATCTGTGGGTAGCAATAGACTTAATCTAGAGAGGTTTGGCCCCTTGACAAATGGTCTCCACAGAGAGCAAACAGAATCAGGGCACTTAAATAACACCACAGTCACTAATGATGATTATGGAAGGTGATAATGCAACAAGAATGACTCTCAGCAGCTTCCAGGAGTTACAACTTGTAGGAGCAGAGACTGTTAGAAAAGAGGCACCCAACTCCCACTTCACACTGCTGCTGCGATGCAGCATCTTTTTAAATAGATGAAAAAAAACCCGCAAGACAACAGAGAAAAAGCTATTTTAACAGAAATAGCTTCCTCTCAGCAGGCTTTGTGGTTCAAAGGACTCGTGGTAAATGAGTTTCAGAGCCACAAAAGCAGTTCTCACGTCTGGTCACCTCAGCCCCCTGCATTATACACCATGATGTCAACGAATTCAGAAAGGCAGAAGGAACAGTCTGTGTATGCCTGGCAAAAGAGATCCTGTGCCAGTGCACAATTCTTATAGAGAACCATACATTACATTAAGGTTAGTTTTTCTGAGCTGGAAATTTTCCATGAGGACGTTTTGCATAAAGACACTGAGCCCAAAGCCTGATCTCACTGCAATTCTTCTTACTGCTGAGACTTTCTAGCACCTCCCCTGCTTAGTTATTCAGAATCAATGGCCAAAATGCCAGATAACATTCATCTATGCATCAAAACATAACAATTGAAATAATATGACCGATCATGCCACAGTTTATGCAATTCCACTTTCATATTCTTTCCCCGTAGTCATTAAACTGAACTTCCACTTTATTTTCCTTCTAGTGATTCTGTTTTCATGTTCTAAATACTCTCTCCCCTTAGTGCTCATCTCTTTTTGATATCAAATCACTGTTTAAATAGGGATCTTAGAACTGAGAGAGCAGACAACAGAAACATAGATGCTTTCATGTTTCCCCTCAGTTACTGTAAACTCATACAATTTCTTTCTTTAAAAAACAAACAAAAGCCTCCAGGCCACTACTAATTTGTGCTGCACTTCTCTCAACTCCCCCCAGTGTCCCTGTTTTGTTTTATGAGATTGCCTCCTGGGGAACACACTGAAGTTCAAAGCCAGGGAATGTTCCCACTGTAGTCCATGCAAGGATAGTTTATGGTTGGATTCAATACTAAAGATCTTTTCCAAACTAAATGATTCTGTGATATATGCCAGGAGCAGGATGCCAATTTCTATATGGATTAAAGCATTTAAGAAGTGCAGTCTTGTGTACTGATCTCTAGGTCTTATCCCCAGATACCTTCCCAGGTCACTAATCCAACTTTCCTCAGGGAATCTGGGACATGGGGAGTAGCTGCTACTGAGAGTATCAGTTATTTTAATCCACTTTGCTCATACTGTTTAATGAAATCATCATTTAAACAGAAAGGAATCTCCCTCTTTCTCCCCAGCTCAGATGGGGAACTGTTATCACACATTTTGCCACTGAAAACAGAAGTTAGGCAGCCAAGCAGCTTTTTATTTTTATTCTCTCATTCTACTGTGACAGGGCTGAAAACAGTTTGCATCCAAAGTTCTCTGTGTTTCTGGGTTTCAAGTTAGAAACTACATGACAGATTATCCTGGAATTTGCACAGATGATGCCTCACAGACACGGATATTATCTATGGAAAAGAAGTCATGCACGTCACCAGGGTTCTGCTCCGTGGAGTCCATTACCTCATTCCCACCCTTGCAGTGGCTGAGGCAGGAAGGAGGATGACGTTCTTTACTCCATTCCAGTTCTTGTACTCAAGAATGATAAAAACTCCCTGTGGAGCTTAACATCAGCCTTACTGTGAGAGTGCAAGGGTCTGGGAAAGGCAAGTTCAAGAGGAGTTAGTGAATGCACTGCAAAGAGTGCAATGGGAATGAGAATCTGAGGAAGAATGTCCAAGAGAGAATGCCTCTAAAGGAAGCAGTGAAGGCAGAGAGGGAAAACTCTCACCCTAAATCAATACTGTGACTGTCCTTTGGTTCATCTGACTTTAATTTCTGTCCTGAGATCTTACACCTACACTCTGGGTAATAAGGCCCCCATCACATCACAATCTGAACTGCTCAGACCCTCCAGGATTACACAGAGTTTGTCAGGGCTCCACCTGCTTGTTCTCAAACACTGCTGAAAACCCACAACAGAGAACAGCCACGAACAGAACAAGAGCATCACCAGAGCAGGAACCAAAACGACAAAGCTTTTTCTGAAACATCAGCTGGACAGTCACGTAGCAACAACACTCCAGCAGCCATCTAAGAAGCAAAGACTTCCACCCTCCTCCAAAGCATGGACACACTTTCCTCCAGAGACTGATACTTGAGGAAAAACAAATAGACCCAGATTGCCTTGCATCCCTCCTGGGTGGCCTGCTATCCCAGGCACAGGGAGCTCCACTGCGTGGGTTCTGCACAGGAAAACACAACTCTGTTTTATTCTATCCCTGAGGAAATACTTGTCACTCTTGGTGCCAGGTCTGTACCTACAGAATCGAGACAGACCTCTCTATTTTCAAAGCCATGTAATTTCTAAAAGCAATACATTTAGTCCAGCTTGAGTGTAAATCAGAGAAAGAAACATACAGGCTGATGCTCAGAGAACACTTCTAACAGTGAACTCATCAGAGTTAAACTGATTTAGGAGAGTGAAGGGAGCTCATCATATGTGCCATTTCAAACAGAAAAGGGAAAAACTACTAGGAGAAAGTGTTACTCAGGAGATGGGTTTGCTTAACAGAAGTTAGACTTGGAAAGGCTGTATTTCATTAATTGTTTTCTGAGGATTGGATGGGAATGTTCTCTCACACCTTCATATCCAAGACCAGGAGAAATGTAGTAGATGGGATATAAAATCAACCAACACAGCACAGAACATACAATTTCAGGGGACAGCACTGTAGCCTTTTAGGCTAAACACTAATCCTGGCTTTATTCTTTCTAAGGTGTGTCTGAAGTCAGGAACTTTCTCTGATCCTTGTCCTTCTGTGAAACCTTGCTGCAAATCAGATGAACAAAACAGTGCTAAGAAATGACTGAAACTTTCACATAGACCAGTTTACTAAAAGGGACAGCTACTGTCTTTTCTCCCAAACTCCTGCACCCTGCAGTTAATGCTTCATAAAGGTTTGGTTGTGAAGAAAAATATATTTTATTATTTACTTTAAAAGATGGACTCTGCTTTTATTAAAGACTTGCTCCAGGGTGCATATCATGTGGTGAAAACTGCTTTTGTCTTCTGCTCCAAGTAACAAACAATATTATTCTTAAGAAAGAAAAATCCCAACACTATATCAAACCAGGACTATCCTGCACACCCAGTATGGAATATTGTCTGTAATTGCCTTCTTTGCAGAATCAAAGGCCTAATTTAACTGCACACCAGCACTGGCCAGAGAACACAGCAATGGCCATACAAGACCTGGACAAATGATTATCCCTGTGAAAATCACTCTGCAAAGAAATGAGAGAGTCTCAAGCAGTCAAAGCTTGCTTTGTAAAATCAAGCTGCAAACTTCACTTGGTCAAGGCCACACAATGAAATATTTCTTTGGTTTTGCAGAAAAAGGACCAAAATAAAAACTCACACAGTAGTGTATTAATGAGAGAGGCCTGTAGAAAAAATATTAGAATATAATTTCAAAAACTGATGCCAAATTGAAGCTGCTGTGCACATAAACTCTGTTTCTCACCATCAACAACCTCTGATGCAGCAAATATTTTGGGGGTTGCATACAAATTACTTATGACAATGCAATATTGGGGATGCACTGCTAAGGAAATCTGAAGGAAGAGGATGGAAACACCCAGTAGAAGTAAACATACAAAAATCAACTGGCTGTAATATACATATTTCTTTGAAGTGACATTGCTTCCTGCACACCTACTGGAAAGTGATTAATTCCTTCTCAGATTAAAGTAAAAATGTACCTATTCCCTTACCTGGTAACCTTCAGTCTTCTTTTGGCACCATTTCAACAAAGCATTCCTCTTGGAACCCCCATATTCCCGAGCCAGGGCTGCCAGGGGGTCCTTTCTCTCCACACTAAACCAGGGAAGCAAAAGGGAGAAGACAATAAATGTGCTAGAAATCTCATTTTTCACCAGTGTGTAAATAATATCGATATGATAAAGCAGAATGGCAGCACAGAACCTAAATGTAAACCAAGCTGAAACAGCTTTTGGAGCTTGCATTCTGTATCTGGCTTCACATGAGACAAATTCAGGTGGTACCACTGCACACAAAGGGCTGAAAAAACAGCAGCCTGTGGATATTCAGTGGTGTGTGTCAACCCAGCATTTCTGCTATTAATTTCATCAGCTTTACTTACAAAATTTTCAAGTAACCTCTTTGTTTTACATATGAAAAACTAGGATTTAGGGTGTAGAATTAAAAGAAACTATCTAAAGGATCTATAACAGCAAATTCACACCCAGCTGAGCTGCTGCAGAATGAGTTGTTGAATAAAATGAAAAATGAAGCTGTATTGCAGTTCAAGGCCCTGAGGACAGTGAAAGGCCAGCAATCAAAACACCCACCTCGTCTCCACTCTACTGGTGGAAATAATGGTGGAGATCAGAGGAAAATATATATGTTCTTTTTCTCAGGAGAGAAGCAAATTATGTGTCCAATTTCCTTCAGCCCTCAGAGCTTTTGGTTTTTAACTCACCATGACATGCAAAGCTACAGTAAGATAATGAGGGCTGACCTCATTATCCTGTACACAGGATGGAATTCTTGCATGCAACTGAAAGCTTGTCATCCTCATTTCCACTGTGATTGCTCATCTTACAGATAACTGTGGTTATTACAACCTGAATTTTGATATCTGGATCTCACACAGTCTGGAAATTCTGAACTGGACAGGCCAGCCAGGAGGGATTGCACTGGAGACCGGGGTCCTCCAGATTAAACCATTCATCCTGGGGCCAGGTAATGCTGTCAGTCTTTCCAATGTGCTATTTTTTTTCCCAGGAAACTGGAGTTGTACCTGAGTTTGCTTTGGGGTTTCAAGCTGCTGGGGGTAGAGGTAAGCATCCTGCTGCTGAAGGCCATGGGGGGTTTGCTCAGGGATTCCAGGGAGGGGCTTTTGCGGAGGTAATGGTCTGGCTTCAGCTCTTCATTCCTCCCCTTCAGAAGGTCTGTGGGAATGAAAAGAAAAAGCTGTCAGTTCACAGCCTGAGGAATTTGATTAATCACTGTCCTGCCACCCAGCACACAATATGCAGTCTGTTGTTTTGATTCTAAACAAATGTACTCATTTGTTCATTAAACACACATGGGGCTAGGAAACCTTGAGCAGATTAGAGGTGATCGCAACAAGGAATGGCTTTGATGATTTCAACAGTCCAGGCTGCCTGGTTTCCTGTGATTGATACTCCTGCTGGGGGGTAGGGGCCCCAGGTGAATGAAGGGAAATACCAAAATCTACAGTCTGAAAGGTTCAAAAGCTGATCACCAGATATCTTCACCAGAGGACTGACCAGCCCTAGGACAGTACTTTCTTTTCTGCCATTAGCAGAACTTTAAAAAGAGAGCTCCTTGTCTCCTGAATACAACCCAGCTCAAGGCAGCAGGAAAAGGCACTTATTAGCACATGATACCTGGCATCCCCTCTGACAGAACTTTGGGAAGTCTCAATATATTCACAGCAGATGCACCTATATTTTATTACACATATTATTTATTTTTATATCATGCAGTTAAGATATATATTTATAGATGTGTACACACACACACACACATAAATGCATATAAATTTTTAGATACATAAAAGAAACCCAACAAAATTAGTAGCCATAGAATCCAATGCTGACAGCATTTTTGAAGAGAAGCTAAAGAGATCATAGAAATCAAATCACTGCATATCAGTACATGAGGTGATGTAACAGGCCAGGACTATGGCTTACATATCATGTTATCAGAAATTAATTGCATGTGGAACACAACTTTTTCTCCTCCTTTCTGGTTAACTCCCTATAATTATCAATTAATGCCACATCACCTAGAGGTGTGAATTCCTTCTTATCTCAGTTTCAACCCCCTTTGACTTATTTCTGGGTGCTAGAAAGTCCAGCATGGAACCAGTAAACCCTTGTCTCTAAGTGAAAAGATCACAACCAGCTCTCTGGGTGAAGTAATCCATTCTCCTCTCCAACTATGTAACATTTGGGTCACATTAAGGACATCACAGAACCCTGCTGTGATACTGGTCAGATGGAATCAGCCAGAAGATTATTATTATGGAGACTACTTCACTCTGAATTTCCTTGGGGATGATTTTTAATTCAGTGTTGTTTGCATAGGGCTTGGATCAACTGCCTTCTAGGATTATTTAGATTGGAACCAGAGCTATTACAACTTTACAGTGAGTAAGCCTTTGCTATGGATTATTGGAACTAAATTAAACCCAGGTACAAAGAGAAGCTGTAAATGCAGGAACTTGCTAAATAAGCAACCATTAATTTTTACCATACAATGGCTAATAAAGTATCTGTTCATTTCAACAAATTTTCACAGAACAACTGTCCAGAGGTAATAACAGAAATTATCCATGGCCTGAAGTGGGATATTTATTGTTAAGGACTGTCAGGATATTACACAGTTGACAGATCACTTCACTCTGCAGTGGATGGGTAGAGACTTTTTAAGTCTTATGTTCTGTTTGGGATCATTGTATATTTTCATGCAAGACACTTTCTGGAAACCAACTGATACAAGTAAGTAAACTCTGGCCATTCCACTAGATAGAAGAAGACATTTCTGCTTGCTTAGCATTTACTCCTGCAGGAGAACCCAAAAGCATGGACAAGATGTTACTTGTTTATGCTGCCACCTACCCTATAACCTGTTTTCTCCTCCACCTTTTAGTGACAGAAGGGGAATCTTGGAAAAATATCTGAAGAGTCTAAAAATGAGCAGAGGTTCTAATTTCTCTCCTCTATTAGCAAACTACTGCAGAAAATCCAGTCTACCAAGGAAGAGATTTCAATGGATATTTTTTGTCCCTCCCTGCAGTTTAACTACAGGAATACAATATTTCATCTGTCCTTAAAAATTCAAGAATCTGTTGTTAATAGTTTTGACTCCAATGCAGCAACTACATCAGGACTAGATAATCAAAATAAAGGGCCCTAGAGAAAATGGGAAACAAACACTGGTAGAAAAGAATATTAAATGACAAGAGAACAAAAGCAAAGTGTGAAATAAAAACAAACTCATCTCTTGAGAACTCTCAAAACAAACTATTTCAAGCCCAAATATGACTGGTCCTAAAACACTCACATTGGTATCTGAAATGTTTGATTTATTTCAAATGAAGCTCAATTTAAAAACAAATAAAGCCTCAAAAGACAGTGCTCTGGACTTGTTCCAGATACATACATGTTGAGTAAAATCCAATCCTCTCCAGTTCCACAGCATGGATTAGAGAGGTGCCATGGATACTTTGGAATAAAGAAGGCAAGTTTGTGTTGGCAAACCACAATAAATCAGCTATTTTTTAAGTTATGATCAAGATGCGAATGCAAACATAACAAAATTAATAAGCTCTCTAAAACAGAGACACTGAAGACCCTTTTTCATGTTTTCTTTGACCATATGAGAAGAGGAAAAATATCCTGGCAGAGGCCAAGAGTTAATGACAAGCTTTAGCTGATAAAAAGAGGCGACATCTATACATTTACTACAACTTACCTGCAAGAGGAAGGTCTGACAGATCTGCGTGTCTGGCAATGCCCTTGCTGGCTGGCTTGGCATTGTTATATACAGAATGTCTCTGTGAAATAAAGGTGCAAAAGATTATTAAAAAAATACTTGCCATCAAGCTTAAATAGGAGAGCAGAAAGAAGAAGTTTCTGCCATCTCAAGATCACAAAGCAGGTGAAGGGATACAGAAACCTTTCATCAGGGTATCAGCTGTACCTAGAGCTGGAGAAACAACTGTGAAAAATAAAAGGACAAAGGGACAGTATTTTTAGCTGGTAATATACTGGTTTCTGAACTATTTCCCACTTCTATTTGTATCATTTTTTTCTCTTGTTAAACACAACCTAGTGTCACAAACCAAAAGTAAGGATGCCTGTTCCTAATCCTAGCTCTGTTCCCAGCACCCTGAATTGTATGTCAGAAGGAGACTCACTATCCCATTTCTCTCAGCTCACGTGCCAGCTCCTTAGTTTAATGTGATGTTCCTTGTAACTCACTCCCAATAACTGAAACCTGTTTTCTGGTCAAGGGTGATAAAAGTTCAGAATTGTATCCCAAAGAGTTCACATCCGTCCACTGAGACCTCTAAGCTGAGGTCAAGACAAACTCACTTTGATCCTTTTTGTTAGTGCTACAGCATTTGATGTTTCACAGCAAACAAACAGATGGGTTTCCCCTTCCTCCTGTCAGGGCTGAAACCAGGTCACGTTGGAGCAACACTGTGTCCACCTCTTTTAAAACTGTGAGGACGGAAAGGATTGTACCTGCATTGGGGACACAGCAGCTGCTGGGGCTGTCCTCACTGGAATTCCACTGAGAGGGCTCCTGGGGACCTTGTGAACTGTGATATTTTGTCCAGTGCTACCTGCAAGGAAAAGACATGGAAACATTTGGATTTCAAACCCAACTATCTCGTCAGAACAGGGAACCACGGCGTAGTGACACCCCTGAGAGAGTATTTACGTACCAAGCACTGACAGAAAACCCACTCAGAAGCAAGAAGCAGTCACCTGCTCACTGCTAGAAATTTTTAATACAAAACACAGTGTTCAAATACCTGAGCATCCCAAGTCAAATGACTTTATCAGTGACTTCACAGTGGCTGCAGACTCTGGCGGGGTGGGAGATGCTCTGCTAAGGCAGACTCCTTGCCAGCGGTTGGCTGTCTCTGACTCCAGAGATTCCACCTCTTCAGCTGTCAGCCTGCAAGGCAGAAACCACACCCAAGTCAGGGGCAACAGGGAAGTGCAAGCAGAGATTAGAGATCTTCATAGTGAGGCAAATCCAACAATGTGCATCTCTTACTGCAGTGCCCAGAACCTGGACCACTCCTTGGAACATCCGTGTCCTTGTCTTGCAGTGCCTGGCAAATGTTACATCACTGAGTCTAACAAACCTTTCTGCATTGCTGACCATTTCATCCCCCTTCCAAATCCTCACACGGGATGGAGGATTATCATAGAAAAAAAAGCAGTTTGTTTAGTAATCATTGATAATTACCTGAAATGGGTTTTCAGTAGAGCACAGGTGCCAAGGGGCTACTGTGGTCCTCAGTTTATAATGAGGAAAGTCACCAAAGAGGAAGATGTTATTTTATACTGGTTTTAACTGGTGTGACCACTGCTGGATTAACTGTTACCAGTTAAAATATCATAATTGAAAATAAAATAAGTAATTGTACAGAGTTCAGACAAAAGGCATAAAATATACTTCAGAATAAAAACTCCGACTTATCAACAACAACATCTGCTGAGTAAGTGAACCTTCAATCACAACCTGTAAGCAGATACATGGGGAACAGAACTGTTAAGTGCTTCATCCTAGTAGATACAAGAATGCCAAAATCCAATGGCTGGAATGAAGAAAGAAAAACTCAAAATAAAAATAAGTTTTATATTTTAACAGGAAGGATAATTAAGTTACTTCATTGAAAAGACATTTTGAAGTTGAGATTAGGTGTTGGACTTACAGGAGTTCATCCAGGAAAGACCACAGCTGTGGTCTTAAATAGCAAATAAAATCATAAAGTGTTACTTCTAGTCCTGTATTTTACAGATCCAACTGACATTGCTCAGTGTTGACACTGTACTTACCTGGCAGCTCTCAGGTAAACTCTGAGTGTAATCACCTAGCTTTAGTTTAGGAAAGCTGCAAGCAGATAACAAAGTCTAGTCATGTAAAAAGAGATTATTTGTACTTTACTTTCCTGATCTCCCACCTGCTCAGAACCTGCACGTGAGCTGCTGATCTGCAGGTTCTGAGGTATCACCACATTGCCCTGTTTTTGTTACACACCAAGAGCTACGTGAACACAAAGCCAGAAATGATTCCATAAGAAGGCTGGAGGAGTCCATCCATAAAGTGCCTATGGGGCTGAATAACTCCTGTGAGCTAAAAATAGAAGCCAGAGCTTTATTCTTTCCCTTTAGCCATCAGAGTCTATAAAATGCAAAGGGCTAAAGGGTGTCAATGAATAAGAGAATAAGAGTGACTCAAGTTTCTATTTCTGGCAGAGCTTAAGGAGGTGCTGTCTTTAAGCAGACATTGGCTATTTCTTTGCTAATTCATTCGAGCTCCTTGTGTGCCAGGAGAGCCTGCAGAGGCAGATGGCCAGAGAAAAAGCCATTTCAATTCCATTCTCCATTTAATCCAATAAGGAGGAAAGGCAGATTGGATAAGATTCACAGAGCTCTGAGGGAGCCAGTGTTTTGCTTTTAAGTTTCAGCCTTTAAATTTTGTCCTGTTGCTTCATAAAGCATAACCAACAAATCAGTAGGTGACAGCTTAGTTACACAAGCCACGAAAGCTAAAGGAGTCCTGCTTCTAGTAAAGTATGGAGGAAGGATAAATTTCTGCCTCAAGATTTCAAACCACCCAATGCAATCTATTACACTTTCAATAATTATATAGGTCACTGTACAAGAGTTCTAATTATCCAGGTAAAAAGGGTATGCACAAGGTTTGTGGAGCATATGAGTAAGAAACAAATGGTTAAATGCCTGTAGGCCAAGTGGTAAACCTCAAGAATAAAGCAAGGCAGAGGTATGCTCTAGGCAGCCATCACTGGTTAGGACTGAACTCTGAGAACAGCTCAGACATCACAGATTAGCCTCCTCAGTCTAGCCTTTGACTACAAAAGGATGCAAAGATGTTAAATAAACTTTGAGTAACCAGACCAGTCCCTGTGCTGTGCCACAGAAGAGTCCACTGAGAATTCACGTGCCATTATTCTGCCATTGTACAGAGTAATTGTGGAGATTTGAGTGCTGGAGCTACAAGTAGTTTCTATTTTGTCAGGATGCTTCCTGTAATCTTCAGTCTGTATATTTGTAATAGGCAGCCTGAAACAACCTCCTTGATTAAACACAATCACAACAGAAAACTGAGGCCTCTGCAAACCTTGCAATCTATAAACCTTGGCAGAGAAGGCAGGAAACATAGTGCTGAGATCCATTTGCTGCAACTAAAACCACACAAGCCAGCCAACAAGCAACGGAGAGCAATGAAATTTGGTGAGCACCTTTCAACTTTAAAAAGAAACCTGTATGGTAAGGGGATGCATGTATGTGTACAGATATGGGTTTCTTAACAGAGAAGCAGAAGAGTAAGAGCTTAACTTGCAGCAGGAAACTAATTCAGGGGGACAGTATAGGAGAACAGAAATTAGAAAGATTAATGACAAGCCATGACTTCAAACCCAAAATGACTCCTCCTTATACACAGAATTTATTCAGCTTAGCAGAGCTTAGGCCATCCAAGGGGACTACACAAGCTCTGCTACAAAAGTGACGGATTTGAGCTAAATGTCATCTACTACTGTATGCTTCCCTTGAAACAAGAATGAATGGTTCACACAGACAAATGCTGCAAGTGCAGCTGGCTGAAGTGGAGCAGCTCCAGGAGGAAGCAGAGCACTGCAGCCACAAAGGAATTCAAACGTGCATCCCTTTCACAAAACCACTGCTGAGTTCCCTTCATTCACTGGTGAGAGAAGTAGATGCAGGGAGCTTTTCTCTATTAGCAAGAGTTAGTCTCCTTGTTTTCTCAGTTTGAAATATGTGGACAACTGACTAACAACAAGGTGAAAGTCCTTCTGTGCTTAATGTACAGATTTTTGGCAAACTCAGCCTTCACGTGTTTGTGAAATTTCTAAACTACTCAGTGACTTTGCTACAGGTGCCCAAGGACCACAGGACCATATTTGCAGAAATAATTACTCCACAATCTAGTCTTTGTCACAGTTCCTGTCATTCTTGTGACTCCTCCTGAACTCCAAGGGATACAAAATAGAGACACAGAGCTACTGATGCACAGAAGAGAGGCCAAGGGCGGGCAGCAGACAATTCCAGACACTTAAACATTTATTTGGCACTTCAATATATATTTCTGAAACATAAAAAACAACATTCAACAGCTGCCAGCACAGAAAAGAAAGGCAACACAAGTGTGCATGTAGGCATACACTCCAGCAGCATGGCACAAAGGTGGAGGCCACGCCAAAGCCAGGACATCCCACAGGATTCTCTACTAGCTCAGCCTGCTCCAAGACCAGGCCCTTGCTAGGTCTTCACATCCAGAAGGAAAGGACAGAAATCCCACAGCCAAAACGTGAAATTCCAGTCCTGGAATGAATCCTGGTAGTCTCCTGATAGAGATGGTGACTTCTGAGTTTTTCCTTAGCGTCCAAAGAAAGCTCTCTCCAGGTGTCTCCGGTTGCAAAGCTGAACTTCAAGTTCTCCCTGATCATCATATACTTCACCTGAGTTAAAGGCATGAGAACAACTCCCTTCTGAGAAGGTATTCACTAGGGGCTTGATATGTTCGATTCTTTTCCTTCTGATCTCTCCATCTGCAGTTCTTACGGCCAGGACAAACCTCTCACGGAACATTGTCTGTGAAGGTCAGAGCAGGACACGCTCCGTGGGCACCACCGCTCCCTAACACACCACCGGGTCAGATGTGCCACCCAGTGGCGAGTGCCTTGTCAATGCAAGAGTAAAAACCTGAAACCATCAAAGCAGCTGATGCTGAGCAACTTCATGTTTCTCTTCGGTTTTCCTGCTGGATTTCAGTGACCTACTGCCGAGTTTGTGTGCCTGTACATGTGACCTGTACTCGTACATGTATTTAGGCACACGGAGACAGATCACAGAATATAACACTATATGGAGAACTCAGGTGTATGCCCATTAAATTTTACAAATTAGACATACGCACTCAGTTTTATTTTTGCTTAAGCTTAAAACGGCACGTTCAAATGTCTGTTTCAAGGAAAACAGCTCCAAAAAAAGCTCTCAGTTATTTCAGATCCCCAAATCTCTGTGATCACTTCTTATGGCTTAGCTGGCTTTAGACTAATTCAAAACTTCTTCTGCCTCATGGAGTCTTCTGGAGAGAGAAGCCTTCTGAAACAAAGAGAGAGGCTCTTGCCCATGGGGAAGAAGTGGACCTGAGCATTCACACTTTGCAATACACTTGACTTTTGCAGGGTAATAAAAAAAACCAGAGGTGCTTTCTCGAATTGAAACTTCCCTTTTTCAGCTGCGAGTTGAAGGCAAGTCCTGCAGTGTCTCACAGGCCTGGTTGTGCATCCCTTCAGGGCTGTGTTAGCTGGTAGAGATCAGGCACCTATGGAGAGACAGACAACATTTGGGGAGGTCATGAACCAACACAATGCCCACCTTGAGGTACAGTTCTCCATTTTACATCATCCCATAAATAAAGGGGAGAGGGGGAAATGCCCACGGTGTTGATAGAACAGCTAAAGGAGTGCCTTAACACCCCATTAACTTGGCTTTGGGACGTGATGAGCAACAACAATACAAAATACAAATCAAAAAACCCCAATCTGTGGTGGTCAGAAAGGAAGAAATAAATTATTTAAACCCAAGGAATCAATTTTGAAGGACAGGGATGGATGGCAGTGTTCCTGGCTTTCTCTCCTCTAGTCAGGACTAGTCATTCAAAATGGGTACATGAACCCATCCCAGGCAACTAGGGTTGCCCTACCTCAGCCACAGTTTCTGTTTCAGAAACACTGAGGGGGATGGAATAATCTCATCCAGTGGAAAAAAAAACACCAAGAACTCCCTAACAAACCCCCAAATCCCCCACCAAACAACTCTTGAGTCACTAACTAGAGCAAACCAATGCTCCTTCAAGGACCCTGCTCTGAAGTTCTCGTTACTCTGAGTGAGAGCAGAATGAACTATCAAATCTCTGTAAGACAGAACAGCTGCAAACACAGGCACAAATGAGCAGCACATCAGCACATACAGACTGACAGCAGGGTTTAATACACAGAGTACAAGCTCATTTCCAGGAGAAAAGCATGTGACACTGCCATGCTGTGGCATTTGAGACTTCAGGAAGAAAAACAGAAGCAAATTAGTGGGATACATCACAACCTTCAGTTTAGGCTTCCGTTTGAAGATCTGGTTAATTTTTTTATTAGAAATTCTAAGAAGTCACTCATTTAATTACAGATTTAACTTCTCTGTTATTTAAGTACTGCTCCCAGCCCAACTGTCCTCCCTCCATGTTCTTGATTTGAGGCACAATGTTCTAGTGCCAAAATCATTGTGAAAACTTGAAGGGAAAGAGTCAAAGCAAGACCTTGAAACTTTTACTCAGGATCTTATCCTGTCTGGTCTTGAAAACCTCCAAGGATGGAGACTAACTTCCATTTCCACTACCTGTGAGAAGACAGTTACACAACAGTGGATTGTTTTACATTTTACTGCAGAGAAATAATATTAATTAGGATGTAAAATATCACAGAAGGCTGTCTGAAGCATAGGTGAAACAATTTTTAGGTTTCAATCAATATTAACTTGGGATAAGCTAACTCTTTTCTTCCTTATTCCATTTGGCTGATGCTGGTCCAACCTCCCCCCCCAGCATTCTTAGTCATAGAATTAGACATTTAATCTGTGTTAGAGATGCCTTTGGGAGGCTCTTACCTTCATTCAGATGAACACTGATGACCTCATCAGGGTTTTTTCTGCAAGTTCTTTGGCTGTTCCTAAACCAAAAATGACTTTTTGTCTTGATTAGAAGAATGTAACGGTGAAATCAAACTTGGAGGCAGGAACTCAGGCAGCCACAGGCAAACATTAAAATGGCAGGATGTCATAGGAGATAAATTGGCTTCAAGATGAATTTATGAGGTGGAGTCTAATGACCCTCAAGAGATGGCTGAGATTTTGCCAAAAACCTTTGAGTAGCAAGCTCTTTGGAAGGTACATTTTCCAATAAGAGCTTGAAAATCAGACAGGAAACTTTCACTAGGGACTGTCAAATACTCAACTGAGCGTGCAGCTGCTCAGCATTAGCAAACAGGAGGGATACTTTACAGACTGTGTTAAGGTATCATGCTACAAACTGTTTCCACCAGTGCTGAGCATGCATCAAAATCACCACAGGTACCAAAATCGACTGCTGATTCTGAGCAGTGGCATTTGAGGAAGCTGATTAAAAAGCAATGATGAGAATATCCCCAGACCTTCCTGGGTGACAGAAGCTGAGGTGCTGGGGAAGACAGTGACCTCAGGAATGCAAAAATATGTGGGAGTGTAGAACTGGCTCTCAGCAGGAGCTTTGGTGACTTCAGGAATTTGTTTCATAAGTCAGTAGAGCTTTAAAAAGTCAGTGCTTAGCTGCTGATCACTGCTTTGTTTAGACAATGACTTACATAGGCTTCACTTTGTTCTCCATACCACTCAGTACAGAAATTTTGCACACTCCGAGTCAAATTAGTTTTACTGATAGATGCAAAATTTGGTTTGAATACCTGTCTTTGAAAGAGAATAAACATTGCCCACTGCAGACAGCATATCTAGCTCCATGACCAATGCAATACTCAAAGCAAGCTATACAGAGAGTCAACATGACACAGAGACAGACAGATCTGTGTGTGTGACAGAGAGGGACACACAAATGCCCAAACTGACATAATTAAATACATGTCTGCATATCTCCTTCTGGAACTACGTATGTATGGATTCCATGTTTCCAATTTAAAAAGTAGTATTTGAAGTTGAGGCTTCCAGTGCAGCCACATTCCTTAAACATGGAAGATGAACATCCCAGTTTGCAAATTAGCAGGTCATCTTCTATTCATTTTAACTACTATCAAATACATCTTCAGATTAAAAACTAAAAGAATAAAGACGGGAAGCTGTATGAATATGACTCCCCATCCTCATATAGGGACCCTGCTTTAAACAAGAGAAATTTCGTTAGGAACAAATTAGGAATGGAAACAGAGCCCAGAACTCAAGTACTGTCTGGTAATCATTTTGTCTGAACACATAGTCTGTAACAGCTTTTTTTTGCATCCACTTGGGACTCTGATAATGAAACTGGAGCTTAAATACATTCCTTTATTTTCTGAAATGAAGTATTTCTGTTTCTTCAGTCCAGGAATTCTGATCCATACACCTCCGCACAAAAGCTCTCCCATGTTTTTAGTCCCATCTACTGCACAGCTGCTGTGGAAACTCCTGAATGGAAAACAGTGAGCAAATATGTGCAACATAAAGCTGGGCTGTTACTCCACCTGAAAGAAATGACAGGATTCACTATGTTCTTGTGGTCATTCTGCCAGTGGCCATAAATTTACCAGGAGATTAAATGGAAAATCTAAAGGATTAAAATTGACTTGGCACACATTTCTGATACACAGGACAACTGCTTGTGTTATTTTGTCTTTCTTCATTGACTTCTCTCAGGTCAAGTTGTTCTCTTCTGGATGTTCCATGGAATATCTGTGCCCAACCCATCTTTCCACAGATGCTTTAATAGAGCTGCACAGAGAGCTATGAAGGCAACAACACACAGGGCAGTACCAGACTGAGAACAAAACTATCAGAGGCAGTTGTTATTAATTAGTATTCACTGATTAAAACCTTCACAGCCCTTGTTGACAGAACTAGGTTGTCAGATAGAAAAAGAACAGAAACATCTTAGAATAAGAGACAACAAAATCTGCCAGAAGAGTTATAGACAGACAACATGCACGTCCAAGCCAATGACTAGTTATTGACAAAGCACTGTTTGCATGCGTGTTAGCACTCACAGAGATCACATCTCAGCCTCGGTAAATAACCAACCTGTTGCTGCCCTTCACTTCATCCAGCTCCTTTTGCAGCCTGGCACTCTTCTCCTCTTCCTCCTGCAGCTTCCTCTTCACCACACGGAGCTCCTGCTGAGCTTCACACTTAATGTCGTTGGCCACAACCACTGCAGTCTGCAGGTCAGCCTGGAAACGCCTCCACTCCTCTGCATCTTCCTACAAAGAGCAGTTACAACCCCAAAGTGTTTGCTGTAAAAATGCACCCACTTGAGCTGAGCACTTTAGTTATTGATCTCTCTTTCAGTCATCACGAGCGACCAGGATTTCACCACAACTCAAGATGGTGCTGAGGTCAAAATAAACATTTGCCTCTTTATAGTACTGCAAACACTGCCACAGAAGCTGATTCTAAGCCTTCCACTCCAATGGAAGTACAAAGAGAAAAGAATGTAGAAAGGATGTAGAAAGAAATTTCTACACTTCTTCTAGGAAAACACAACACTTCTCTTATATCTAGTACTGCAATAAAAGCTCAGCTTAGCTTTGTCCTGGAGCTTAAGCCTTACCTTCATTTGCTTAGTCAGAGCCTTCAGCTGCCTCTCTGTATCCTGTTTTTGTTCTTCCAGCTTCATTGCTTTACCTAAGACAGTAAAAAGGGAAAAGATTATTAAACACATAAAGGCAACAGTGAAAGTGAAAAAGGGAGGGCAGAGCAGCTGATTTGGTTTTGTTTCTAGTAAAGCCACTAAATAGACTGAGATTAGGATACTGTGACAACAGATCAGGAATGGAATCAACAGTAGATTTGTTACTCAAACATCTCTGAACTACGTTGTTATTTTCAGGTATTAAACCAGACTCTGAAATTTAGAGAATCCCATGTGGATTCACTTACTTAGCACACACATATCCCCCAACTTGAGGGAACACTAAAATATGGAACGGGCCACTCGTTCCACCAGGTGGCAGCTCCTCGTCCACAACATGACAGCCACCTCGACTTTACTGCTCTTCCCTGTGTTTTTCCCTAAAAGCTCTTTAAAAGGCCAATAATTCCAATTTCTAGAATGGGCAATACTTCCTTCACTGAAGAACGGGGCTTGGAGACTGTCTCTAATATTGTATCTATAGCACTAACTGTTAAAATAGTACTTTTGTGCATGAACAGAAGGGAACAGCCAAAATTGGAATACTAGTAAAGGACATGCTTCCTCCTCCCTGTTGCAGCCATAACTGAGCCCCCCGAATAAGTTAATTTAAATCCTTTTTTTTGAGCTCCACCTACTTTCTAAGTCACTGATGAGCTGGTTATTGTGAAGTTTTATAGCACGATGTTGTTCCACCTGGTCTTCCAACTCGAAAATGGTCTCCTTCAGGTTTTTTATATCTGCTTCATTCTCTGATGTTTTTTCCTGCAGCTTCTGGCTGGTTCTGCTCAGTTGCTCAGCCTGCCGGTCACACACCTCCTTCAGCTGACCATACTCATTCTCAGCCTGGAAGGGAGGAAAAAAAGATGCAAGTCTGTCTTTATTCCTTAAGAGATATCACTCATTAGAGGCTTTACTGGGCATCTCATGGACTTCAGAACTGAACCTGTGTTCTAAGCATTGTGTACATGAAACAGCCTCAGGAAACACAGATGAGCTATGAATGTCAGTTTTCTCCCCTGGTAATGGAGATGATAAAATGAGATGCTGCAAAGGAAATTAAATTTTCTATATGATGACCATAATTCCAAACCAGTCTCTGTACTTAATGAACAGAGAGGAATTATATTCCCGGAAAGCTCCCCATCTATTTATGTATCACATTATGAAAGTGATATCACTGCCTCAGGGCCAAGATCATGATCAGTTCATCCACACCAAGTTTGCTGCTTCTACCATGTGCATTTTCAATGGACTGTGAAAACATACACAGCAGAGCCAGCTACTGCAGATAAGTATATTTCTGGATATAGGACATCTGGAATTACTGAAGGGGGAATCTGCTGCACTTCAGTTTGTTGGCTCAGGCCCACGGATCAATGCTTCCAGGTTTGGGGGGAGCTCTCTGAGTACAAAAAAGGTGCAGGCTGCCAATTCAGTGAGCAGCACTGGCACAGCCTGAGTGAAGGGCAGCCTTACAGAAGCCTGTGGTCTTGTCTGGGTGTCACAAGTAGCCAATGATTCAAAACAGCTTAATTCGAGGGAAAGGAAGAGTAAAAAGGAGGAAATCTGTGGTTTCCAAACCAAGCAATAAAAGTTTGGTCCAGAGTCTGAGCACTCAGCAGTTTTTCATTTATTCTTCATGAGCTGCAGCTCCAGAAAGCACTTGGGAGCTTCCTCTACTAACTCCATTTGCTGTGGTCACCTATTTAAGCTGAAAGGACATCTGGATTTTCTAAATCACTCACATCATGGAGGTGCTTTTTGGCAATGCTCTCTTCCTCTGCAGCCAATTTTATCATTCTTCTCATGATCCCTTCCCCATACAGGAAGGACTGCACACACTATCACTCTTTCTGCAGCAGTGGGACACAATCACTGGCCTGTGCTTTATTAACACTTGTTGTATGATGCCTCACATTGCAGCTCCCTTCTGAATATCCACAGAAAATGAAAATAATAACCGGGGTAAACTTGTTTGGAGCAAAGCTACAAACTACTAAATGAGGTAGAGGAAAATTGTTCTAAAATCAGTCTTTTTAAAATTTTTTTGCCATTATTTTACCTATCCCAAAATAGAGTATTTCTCAGTTTTGTAAAAGTATTTTAGTTTTATGAAAATAATCTCATCTGGAGCTTGATGCTGCAACATTAGTCATACTGCTGTAACTACCAGCTTCTCTAAGCATTAACTCAGAAGTTAATTAACTCAGATCCTTGTGTTCTCATGATCAATGACATCCGCAGTTCACTGCTAATTAATTATGATTAATTATTCAGAATTTAATATTCACTGCTAACTATTCATGCCCTTCTCTCCATCTAATTAGCGAGTGATTTACACTAACATTTGTTCACACAATATCAAAGTAATTTTTTATTGACCTGTTCTTTGCTCCAATTTTGATAAACACAACTCTACTTATTAAAAGAGTCAATTCTGCAGAAGATATTAGGACAAAATAGTTTTGAATTTATAAATACAGCTACATTAACAGTTACTCCTGGGAAAATAGGCACACAGCAGCAGCAACTGAGACAACACCATACGACCCCAGCTTCCATTCAAAACTAATTCATGTAATTTAAATCCTGGAAGTTTATAATCCATGGCTCGACAGCAATCTAAAGACCAATAATTACCTATTTATGGAAGGACAGAAACAATCACTCTGTTTTACAGCTGTTACTGCTTTACCTTAGACAGCAGACCCTGAATGTGCTTTAGTTCACTGTTTGCCTTCAGCAGCTCTTGTTTAAGCTCAGTGCAAGAGGCTTCTAACTGAGCCTTTTCTGCGTGGGCCACTTTGAGCATCTCCTGCACCTCTGAGTCATCAGGGGCACAGCCCATCACGTTGATTTCTGCAGCCTTTTGTTTCTCATTCTCCAGCTGAGTTTTGAGAGAGCCATTCTCAATTTTCAGACCTTCCAAGGCAATTTTACAGTCCTCCAGACTTTTTGTCGCTGTGCTGTTGCTCTGCTGTTCCACCTCTAGAAGTTTAAGCAGCTTCTCGTTTTCTTCTCTCAGGCTTTTAATCACCTGTTGGGCATCCTGATGTTCCCTTTCCAGGCTTCGCAGGCTGCTGGTTAACTGCTGCTGAATGTTGAGCAGTTTCTCTCTTTCAAATTGTGCTTTTTCAAGAACTTCTGCACATTTCTGTTCCAGTTCGAGGACCTTCCCCTCCTGAGCTCTGCTTTCTTCATTCTTGGATCGCTCTTGGAGGAGAGTCATCAGCTTCTCGTTCTCCTGGCTCAGCTGTTCTGCTCTGTCTCTGTGCTGACGGAAGGAAGTCTCCAGGAGAGCCTTCTCTTCCACTAACTTCTCATTTTCTGTTGTCAGCTCCTGCACCATTTGCTGTTGATCCGACAGCTCCTGCAAAGTGGCTTGTAATTCTTCTGCTGTGCTGTGGTGATTCTCCTCCATTTTTTGTATTCTCTCTGTAAGGGAAGCAACAGAGAGGTCGCTAATATTGTTTGGAGAACTTCCTGCAGTGGAGCATTTGGAACCTTTGAAGTGGTTGCTGTTGGCAGATGTTGGCCTGGAAGGTACATCTGCTATGTGCTCAAAATCAGATGCATCAGGGGACAGGGAAGCTTTAGTTACATCACTGCTGGAAGAACCAGAATTGCGCAGGGCACCCCCGTTCACGTGCTGCCTGCGCTCCTCCACTTCACCTCTCGATGCATTTTTGGATGGGCTTCCAAAACTGGACTCCTGGGTAGTTGGGGTTGGGAGGCTGCTGTCACCTCCACTGCTTGTTGTTGTGTCTGACAGAGGGGAGTTCTCCAGATAAAGCAATTTCTCTTTTAGGACGCGGTTTTCTTCTCCCAGGCTAGCAAGCTCTTTTTGGAAAGTCCTGTTTTTCTCCTGAAGAGACCGTATCAATGGATCTATGTCAGCAGGTGATACTGTTTCTAAATTTTGGCTGGAAGCACCCATTCCTTCAGCATTAAGGGACCCTTTCTCTTTGCATTTCTTCAACTCACAGCGAAGTTTGGTAATTTCAGAATCTTTTGTCTTTGCTTCTGCCAGGAGCTCTTTAACCTGAGATTCCAGAACAGCCTTGTCACCACTTTCACTCTCTTGCTTGGACTTGCTGGTGGGGCGCACGTGTTTGGTAGGAGTTGGTGCACCAGAAGAGGTGGGGCTGGGTTGTGTTTTCCTGGCATTGGCTTGACCACGCAGCACAGCTCTCTCCCTGGAGACAGAGGATGAGATTTCCCGGGGTGCTGGGATCCCTGTGCGCTTTGCAGCCGAAACTGTGCCTTCAAGAAGAAGAAGAGATGAAGCTAATTGAGCTGGTGCATAAAGAAAACAAGTCACACAACAACAATGCTAAAGCCTAGAGCAGTCTTGGAAAAAAACCACCTGAGTGGTTGAATAGGTTTAGTCATGACTGTGTGGATTCATGTTTCAAAAGCTCCTATTATTCTGCATTTCTTCCTTTCCTACCCCCTGCAAAGGAACACAGCCTGCTTAACTTTTTCCCAGTGTAATAATATAATACACAGATGCTGCAATACATTAACTACAATCCCCAATATCAGGATATTAATTACTTGGAAGTAAAGATTCTTTACAGTACTTTGTAAAATGCTTAATCTAATTCTACTGATTTCTGGGGAAAACGTCAGTTAATTTAAGAAAAGATAATGTATCTGGAAAAAAAAGTATTTTTATCACACATAAAACTGTTTGCATTTAGGCAGATCATAATATAAAAAAGGGCTGAAACATTTATGCTGACCACAGACTCAGTGAAATATAAAACTCTCTATGGCAATTCCAGCACTAAGACAATTGTGATGCTGCAGCTTCTCTTCTGTCTCTTCACAGAGATATTTTCCATGTAATACATTCCCATCCTATTACAGAGGAAGAGCAAAAGGAGGTTAGAGAGTTGACACTGTCCTGTTTAGTTGTTGGTTGGGTTTCTCTTTCCCACCAATCAGTGCAAAGCACTGTGTGATTATAAGGGAAATAAAGTTTATGAGTTGCTGATCTTCATTTTTTAAAGCCCTCCTGAAATGTGTGACCATGGGCACTGAAGACACAGGAGCCATCCAAACCATGGCAAGCTGGTTAAAGAAAAGCTGGTTCAAAGGGAAGGTATCATATGCCACTGCAAGTGGCAACTGTGAATATAAGAAAATCCTGCTTTCAGTACCTTATTCAAAAGGCAAAGCCATAAAGCACAGGGCCATAAAGTTTGGGGATATGGTACAATGAAGAGATATTGTCCAATGTAGCCACATAAACAGGATGCAAGGGAGAGTTCTGCAAACAGAAGGGGTCAGTGAGCCAGTGTTTGCAATAAAAACAAGTTCCAGAAGGACTCCTAGAATCAATTCCATCTCTCCTGATTTGGGAGGGTCTTTGCCTGGTGCACATGTGCACCACTCACAGAAAATCAAAGGGCATTAAGACCAGAGGGGAAGCAGCCTCCCTGCCTTACACAGCAACTTCATAACCCTCCCACAGCATTTTTCTCGCTGCAGCAATGCAGGGCACTGAGGGGTTAACATTAACACCACCCGGTTTGCTCAGCATCTCTTTTGAAGAATGCACTGGGTTTATAAAGCCCACACAAACAGGAGCCCCTCCTCCTCCCTCCCAAACACACACACTCTGCAGCAGCACAATAAACACCCGGAGACAAAGAGCAGCTGAAGAAAAGCCCCCTGAACCCAGCGCAGCGCTGGCAGGAGAGCACAGAGAGGCTCTGTCAGGGCAGGGGCACGATAAGGCCAGAGACAAAGGCTCCAGTGTTTAGGGGAAGAGATACAGGGGCAGCCAGCGGCCCACACAGCTTCAGTTAGTCATCTACAGCTGGAGGGGACGGCTCAGCTCCGGGATGGGAGTTCTCCCACTGCAGCTCCAGTGGCTGCTGGGGCAACTCCAGGTCTTGTCAGAGCTGGAGGCCCCTCCGGCTCACCACTCATCACATTCCCAAACCCCACTGCCAGGATCTGGCACCATAAACCCTATTCCAGCCGAGCTCAGCACACGAGCAAACCTCGTGCTGTTGGTGCAGCAAATGCTGTGAGATGAAGGACAAGAGGAAAATTGAAAGGACCCTGATGTGACGTGTCACTTCCAGTGGAGAAATCCCAGCTCAGCGCAGCTCCTTCCCGCTGAGAGGCTCAGGGGAACCCCGGGTGTCAGAGCATCTGAGTGCACCCTGACCACAGACTGGGATGAGGGTCCAGTGTAGAGCACCAGTACTCACACAGGCTGTAGTCATACTACAGATTTAATACATAAAGTACACATTATAAATGGCCACAGACGGAGCCTAAGGGGTGATCTGAAGCATTCTGTAGCTGTCCTGTACTTGTATTCCATCTGAGAGGGCTTTCTACTGTTATAAAAAAAAATTCACGACAAAACAAGTGCTTCAAAGAAGTCTTCTTTTTTCAGTGCTCAAACCAGTGCAATAACATGACTCTCATCTGGCCAGCACATGACTGACTAGTATTATATAATAGTGGACAGTGCTGACTGGGCAGCATCCTATACATTAAAAGAAATAATGATGCTATTACACACTGGTGCAAATCTCATGGCACTGGGAAAACCACCTTTTCCTAACAGAAATGAAGCACTTCTGGTAGCCACACCAGCGTGCTTCTAATCATCACCAGATGACAACTGCAACATGATCCTGAACAATGGAAAACATATACACAGGGATAACAATTAATGATATTTAACTGGGATTATCTGTACTTCACCAGTTGGCCAACCAGTGCAGGCTCTGAGCTTACTCAACGTGTCTCATGTGTTTTGCAAGACTCCACGCTCTGCTGACTTTTTCTGCCATAAATCACAAAGCATTTGCTATCCATCAATAACCATTAACCAACCTGTTTTTTTCATGCCATAGAAGGGCTTAGGTATTTTCCTCACTCCACTCTCCATAAGTGCCATGTAATACTAAAAAGGATCCCGGAAAAGAAATAGTTCTAAATGCATATGTTGATCACAAAACACCAAATTAAGTATAAACACTACTTTAATGGCTATTTTATGGGCAACTCCCACTCTGAATGACCTTGGAGTTGAGCGGTGTAGCAGTCACCAGTGAAGCTGCCAAGCCCGCAGCCCGGGGCATCCCTATGCAGGAACTGCATTTAGGGCTGTGCCAGTCACCCTGGTGACCTGATTAACTCGGCCCCCACCCTGGTGATGGTCTGTGGGAGACCCCAGACAGACATGTGCCCACCAGGCTGCAGAGCTCAACACAGCCTTGATTTATGCTGCTGCTGCCTGAAGTGGCTGGAATCACACAGATCTTCACTTCCTGGAAAGTGCTGCTGGTTTTGAGCAGGGAAGAGAAAAACAAAGAGCCCTGCATCTTGATGGAGACATTCCAGAAAAAAACCAACCCAAACCATTGAATACCTTTCTGTTTGGTCAAAATGGTGCTTTGGCACCTCATTCCTGTTTACACTGCTCATCCACCCTGCCCAAGCTTTTAGTTCAACTCTGTTCTTGCCATCTTTGAGCACAACCTCTGTCCCACCATTCCAGATATCCAAGTCCAGGCTACCTCCAACCATCAATGTATCTCTCATTCCCTTTGCACCACACCAAACCTCCTGTGCTCCCAGTCCCACGACCACTCTGCTAATGGGCTCGGCTTGTGTTCCCCCACTTTGGGAGTAATTTTGGGAATTACTCCTGAATTACTCCATTGAGAGTGATTGCCTGAAAAGCTGTTTTGTTCAGGCTGAGGTCACCTCATCACCACCTTCCTCACCTCGGCACCCAGGAAGAACTGCTCCATTTTCAGCATCAGCCAGACTACTCACATGTGAGGCATTACAGTGAAACACGTATATACACGTATATACACGTATAATTTTCCAAGTGCTTTAAAATTAACAGCTATTTAACTCAAATCCTCTGAAACACATAATTAAGTTTAGGTTACAAGACAGGAAAGCAGAGAGAAATGAAATACCTCACCCAAGGTCACGGGAAGTCAGGATTAGGACTGGGAGCCCATGGTCACTTGCTGCCAGGGAGCACTCCCTGACTTTCCACCGGTGTCAAAAGCCAGAGTATTACTTTAATGAGATAAAAGTTGAGCCCTCCTGATGACCTTTCACCATGTTAATCCCATTTTCAGCACGCCTACAATGTTTTTCACAGAAGGAAGGATCGGGATTACTCTTCAGTTTTTCCACATTATGATCTATTTTTGTCCTGAGCTCTCAGCACCTCCCGCGTCAGCTCCCACAGGAACATCCGCAACCCGGAGAAACGGACTATGGAATGGAGAAAAACACTTCCCAATCCTCCAAGGTGAAACACCTGGGATTGTTGTTCAGGATTGACACCCCTGCAGTGCAGCCAAAGTAATTACAGCGAGAGCAGGGTAAGGGAGAGCAGGAGACGAACGTTTCGCCAGTCCCAGGGGGGACACGCGTGACACGGTGGAATGAAGATTCCATGTTTACCTGCCTTCACATTCCATGGACTCTGATAGCACATATCACTGCAGTAAAACACTGGCCCTGACGTTAATATAATTAGGAGTCAATTAAAAAGTTCAAGTACCTGCTTCTCCAGTCCCAGAGCAGAGGAATAATCTCAGTTGGAAGACTACGTTTGACTGCAGAAACACCTTTGCAAATGTTCTGATTTCTGCTTCCAATCTATTTTTTAGAACTGGGGTCAATACAAAATTATTTGCCTCTGGCCTTTGTGCCATTTGTGTCCCACAGCCTGCTCTTTTCTTAATCCTTCCCTCCATCAACATATTAATAACCCAAAGGTTAATGCCATGGTCTTCTGCTGTTCCACAGACAGAACTAAACAGGGAATGTTTCATTTTAAACGTTCTTCCTCAATTTTAATCCTGTCAACTCTTAAGCAATGAACAATAAAAACACATTTTGTTCTTACACATATTTAGAATTCCAGGTTAGTAATTCACTGTTCCATAGCTTAAGCAGGTACTAAAGCCTCCTGCATGTAGAGCCCATCTATGTAATTTAAGCACCGATCACCGAGTCACCTCAGAAAGCATTTCAGTCATGTAAGACTAAAGCATGGAGACAGATGCAGCTTTGCTGTGATGTTTTTCAACAATGGATACCTTATCTGAACTGCAAGGGCAGGATAACAAGAAATAAAAGAAGGCTATTCATAGGACTCTGCAATGTTCAAGTCATACATCTCAGAAAGGCAAACTGTTGCCTGCAGACAAGTTTGTCCTCTCGTGATGATCTGCTGCTCCAGGAGGGCTGTTACAGCT